TTCTGAGCACAAGAAATGCAAAAAAAAAAAAGACTTCTGAAATACTTGAATTTTGAAAATGATGGCTTGAATCGTGCCGGCATTGTGGAAAGGTATACTGAAAGGGAAGCAAAGGTGACTGATGAGATCTGCTTTTGAAAGCAAAGATTCCAGCTTGAAAAGAGCCTCAGATTGCAAATCTCATTAACCTTAAATAGGGAAAACGCTTCAACAGATGAAACAGGGCAGTGTATGTTGGAGAGGGGTGCCAGCCCGGATCATCAGAGGTGTCAGGATTGAATCTAAAATTCTTTTTGTCAGGCACTGCTAATAAAGTAAGGAGATCATGTTGATTGAGAGATAAGTATAGGAACTAGAGCTGACAAATACAGTCAGACTGGCAGTGCATCTTAGTCTGTGATTTTTAGTATTCTTGTATGCACTGGGAGTGAGAAGGACGATAGCCCTTTGAATTCGCACGTGACCATCTGGAGTTGCACCTGCAGAAGCCCTTACTGAAATTACAGTTATTGCAAATCAAAAGTATAGTTTTGCACAGATTATCTCACCTGCCAGACTCAAGTTATGTTTGCACAGTGCTGGTTTTAGGTAGCAGTTATTATTATACCAGGAGGACTTTACCCGTAGGTATACTGGTGTGCCTTTATCGTTAAGCATACCTAACACAGGCCTGACTCTACAGTGTAATGGCTCTGTTTATCACTATAATCCTGAGTGCAATTCTCACCTTGTTATCTGGAATATTTGCAACTAAGGTACATCAGGGAAGGGTTGCCATCAGCTGAAGAAAAGTGAAGGCATGGGAGGAAGTGTCTGGTGTACAACAGGATTGGGAAAGCTCTGCTCTCCCCTTGTGAAAACAGCCATCTCGGCTCCCTCTACACAAACACAAGCGGCTTAGGAGACAGGAGGAATTAGAAGGTCGTGCACAGTTGCAGAGCTATGGCCCTGTTGGACATGGTGAGATAGCTCACACGACCAGAAAGACAGGCTGGGAAGGTGAGAAGAAGGGGTTGTGCTCCATGTGAAGGAGTGCCTGGAGCTTTGCCTTGGGATGAGTGGTGAGCCAGCTGGGAGCTAATGGGTAAGGATCAAAGGATAGACCAACATGGACGACACTGAAAAGATTTTAGCTTCAAGTGAAACAATAAGCAACAGGAAGAGAGTGCTGACTTCTAGCAGTTTAGAACATGCCCAAGTCTAAATGGAGTTTCATGGGACTGCAAAGGGACAGCGGTCTCACTACTGGCAGGACTTTGGAACTTGACAAGGTGAAACACTGGGAGAAAAGAGGGCGAGAGGTCATCAGAAGAAAACTGTCCAAAGAAACCACTGACAGATTCATAGCGTAAAGTGTATGTTCGTTACCTGATAGCTCTTAAGCAGAAATCTGCACTTCTGCATATCACATTCAGAGCCCTAGCAGCCAGACTTAGAACGCAGAAAGTACCAGAATAACCTTAAAATCAGAAAAATTAACCTCAGAAAAATTAATACAATTTCTTTGAGCCTCTTTGCCAACTGTAAAATGAGGATGACCAACACATTCCTATGTCACAAGCAGGGTGTGGGACAGTTGGTTAGACTGTGCTTGTAAAAGACAGAAATTAGGATGTGTTATATTGCAAAACAAAGGCTTAGTTTCACATTCGCCCTATGGTGACTTTGTTCCTCTGAATGCAGGAGTTCCTAACTGTAACCTTGGCTTATAGTGTTGTGAACAGGGAGTCGCTCACAAGTGATAGACTTGTTGTCTAAGGCAGTTCTAATAAACTGCAACTAGTAATAATCCTTTACTTGTGCAGATGGATGGAGTACATACATGCGGACCATCGGGAGAATTCATAGGAAAGCTGTAAGAGCAATCAGCAAGTATGACCCCATTGAAAAGCTGAAAGAGCTGGAGATGCCTAGTTTCTGGTGGGTAGGACAAGAGTTAATGTGATTAATGCTTAAACTGCAGCAAGGAAGATTCAGCCCAAGTACTAGGAATAGCTTGAACAGAAAGAAACACGGTGCACCATTTTCTACCTACACAATTATTTGTGGTAGAGTGTGTGTTGAAAATCAGGGTTTCTGTACTCTCTTTCAGTCTCTTACTGGGGAATGTGATCCAGTGGCTGCAACCCTGTAGTGCTTGATACTGGCCTTTCAGGTTTTAGACAGGTTTGCTCTATTATAGACTGTGATTCTTGTCCCACCTTTGCATGAACTGACCTTCTTGGGGTTTTATCAAATCAGATTTCACTGTGTGCGCTAGTACAAGGGATATTACTTCATATCTGTTCCATATAAACTGTACCTGGGCTGAGCATATCCAGCAGCTGGATTTGGCATCTTGGGAGGTCTCCCAACAAAAAATTCAGGATAGGGCAGGGTTTGGCATCTGGCATTGGTGGATGAGGAACATGGAGCCCAGCATGTCTCTCTCTACCTGTTTATGCTCCTGAGCTCTATTAACCTTTTATTTTTTTTTGCCCTGAATATTTTCTTCTTGAGGACTGAGCTCCCTTGGTTTGCACTGGGCCAAATTTTTTCTCTGGCCAAAGCCTTGGTCCTGGGAGGGCAGAGTGTTGTTCTCTGTGAAGATGGCATCGGTCTCTCACCACTTGGCAGGATTGCTGTCACTGTGTGAGGGTTTGTGCTGGCTTGAATTCTGCTATTCTGATTCAGCAAAACAAATACCCTCAAACCCTCAGCTGCACAGTGTTTTGATGAACTGTATATGGCCTTTCTTTTTCTGGGCTATCCTTTCATATTTTACATTTATTTACATGTATTTAAAAAGTACTATTGTTTGATTGCTTAAGTTACTAGTAAGTGGCAAAGCTCTGGTTCCTTGACCGCTCCGGTACCAACCATTACAAATGAAGAATCATCGTTATAACATTCCTTACAGATTGTTTGAGTTAAATATGATGTGACTAGCAAGTATGGTGTTACTTGGTTAAATATTCAGATGATTCATGTTTCCTTTCTGGCACCAATTGTGAAAATGCTGTAAGTTTTTTTGGTTGAAAAAACCGTGGTTGTTAAATACAATGGCTGCTTTTTAAAAGCAGCTACTAGAGCATATTGAGAATTATTTCAATTAAAACAAAACTAAAGTATTATTTATTTAAAAAAAAAAGGCAGGGAAAATGACCTGAGTAAGTATAAACCAGGTGGCCTGCATTTGATCTCTGACAGAATAGGGTTCTTTTTTTGTTGGAGAGTCAGTTGTAAGAAAGATATTATAATACAGCTCATATCAGCCCGTCTAGTAGTGTGGAAATAGGTCCTGGCAAGCAAACTTCATATTTTGGGATGAGGTTGGAGGTCCAGTTGATAAAGGTCACTGATGTATTTTTAAACTACTATAATATGTTTCATTTTTTCAGTCAGTACATTTTATTTAATTAATGAGATTACTACTAAGAATGAATAGAGGTCATGTAAAATTGATTATATTTGACAGTAATCTCACCCTGTTTTGGAAGGGTATTGAACAGGGGCCCA